ATCAAAACTCTAACTGAGGGTTGTAGAATCAAACTATGTTCTAACATAGTCCTCCCTTCAGGTGAATTTTATGAAGCTCTTGAAATGGCGGAATCCAACATATTTGAGGTTGAGTTTGGAGCTGCATCACTTGTAGTTGTTGCTGTATCATTAGATTTTTTTTGGATTATCTCATCATCTTCTTGATTAGATTCTTCCAAAGGATTCAACTCATTTGTATCAATTGTTATGCCTGTTTTTGCGTCACCCCAATCCCAGGCAGCACCCTCCTGAAATTTAACATCTCTGCTGATCCAAATTATCTTCTTGATTGGATCATAAAGTTTGTAGGCCTTAGACTCCTCACTTACACCCAACAACACACATTTGATACTTTTATCATCAAGTTTGCTTCTTTTCTGATCAGGTACATGAACATATCCAATGCTACCAAAGATTCTAAAATATGACACATATGGCTTAATTCCACTCCATGCTTTCTCTGGTGTGACGTTCTTGACAGCAAGAGTTGGGCTTCTGTTTAAAATATGAATCACCCATTTTACAGCTTCTGGCCAAAATGATCTGGGGACTCCTTTTTCCACCAAAACGTTGCGAACCATATTTATAATAGTTTGATTTTTTCTCTCAGCTACGCCATTTTGTTGTGGCGTGTATGAAGCAGTGAGTTGCCTTTCAATACCATGTTTACTGCAAAATTCAGCAAACTCCTTAGAAAGATACTCTCCCCCTCTATCGGTACGCAAAATTTGAATGGGAGCACCAACTTGTTTTTCAACTAGTGCTTTAAACTCTTTAAATACACCAAAAGTTTCACCTTTCTCCATAAGAAAATATACCCATACTTTCCTACTTAAGTCATCAATGAAAGTGAGTATGTACCTTTTATTTCCATTGGATGTTGAATTGATATGACCACAAATATCAGAGTGAATTAACTGCAGCAACTGAGATGCTCGCCAATTACTTTGTCGTGGAAAAGGATCTCGTTGATGTTTCCCTTTGAGGCAATGTTCACAAAGTTGAGATGTTGGTTTGAAGGAAGGCAGCCCTTTCACCATATTGTGCTCCATTAAGGTTTTTAGTCCACTGTAGCTCAAGTGACCATAACGAGAGTGCCATACTCGAGCTGGTGGCGTAGAACTGGCCTGAAAGCAGGATTGGGAGACTCCGGATTTTACACTAATAGCAAACATACGATTAGTAGTCATGAAGGTTTCAAAAATAAGGCCATTTTCTTTAAACACTCTGCACTTGTTTTGCTTCATTTCAACCGTTAACCCTCTTTCCAGAAGTTTCCCCACGCTAAATAAATTATTTTTTAGCTCAGGCACATAAAATACATCATTTAAAAAATGCACGACTCCGTTTATCAAAAGTTTAACCATACCTTTTCCACCGACCTTTAGAGCATAGTTATTCCCTAATTTCACTTCATCTGAAAAACTTTCATCAATGGAGGAGAACCAATCCTTTCTTCCTGTCATGTGGTTGCTACATCCTGAATCGATGAACCACATGTCTTGTGTATTTGATTTTCCATCTGATGAAAGTTGTGCCATGAGTAACACTGCTTCCTCATTGGTCTTAGCATAATTTGCAATGTTGTTCTGTGGTTTCTTTGGGCATTCATACTGAAAATGTCCAAACTCATGACAGTAATAACATTCCACTGCTGCCTTATCTACTCGTTGTCTACCTCCTCTGCCTCTTCCTCGAGCAAATCCACTCCGAAAGCCACCTCTTCCACGACCACGACCACTATTTGTCTCATCTTGAGTTACTTTCAACACTTGCTCTTCATGTGAATTATGCCCATTCATTCGTTGTTCGTGTACCAACATACTACTTTGGAGTTCATCTACAGTCATGGAATCCAAAACATGAGATTCTTCGATAGAACACACTACATAATCATACCTCGAGGTCATTGAGCGAAGAATCTTTTCGACAACGGTAAGATCTAACATTTTTTCACCGTACATTCGCATCTTATTTGCAATAGTGAGAGTTCGAGCAAAATAGTCATTAACTGATTCTCCATTCTTCATCTGTAAAATCTCCCATTCGCGTCGTAGGGCTTGAAGTTGTGCTCGCTTCACTCTAGCAGTGCCTTGGTATTTCTGTTTTAAGGAATCCCATATCTCTTTCGATGTCTCCTTCTTTAAAATTGTTTCAAGCACAGATCGATCAATTGCTTGAAAGATGTAACTCTTTACCTTCAAATCTTTTAGTTTAAGCTCGTTCACTGTTTTCTTCTCGTTCTCCGTTAATACAGCACCATCAGCATGTTGAGGAATCCCTGGATCAATAAGATTCCAATACTCCTTTGACCTTAAAAAGTTCTCCATCAGCATTACCCAATGATCATAATGCTCGCTCAATTTTGGAATCGCAGGTTGCACGAAGTTGCCATCCGTGGTTGCTGCCATGATTGAAGTCCGATGCTTCTCTTTTCTTGTTACAAACCTAACTCTGATACCAGATGTTAACAGAAAAGCAGTTATGTTCTGCGTTCTTGTATTAGAAACTGAAAATGCCAAGTTTATAGACTTAGCAATACAACTGACTGCCTAGAAATTAGGAAACTGACTCACACACTAACAACACATCCTAAATGTGTGCAAGATAATAGGAATTAAATAGGAAACTGACTCACACACTAACAACACATCCTAAATGTGTGCAAGATAATAGGAATTAAATGTAACTAACAATTAATTAAAAAACAAATAATAGAAATAATTCTATACTTAAAACTGACTTATTCAACAGCATTTTGAGACAAGAAGAAGAAAATAGCTTTCGTGCGTATAGATGAGTGTGTGAATCTTAATGGTTTTTTGGTAAAAGCTACTTATGACAGAATTTTGGAGGGGATTTTTCGTAATTGGGTGTTGGATCTCAATTGTCTTTCTGTTTTGAATAATTTATGGAGGACGAAAGCTCTAAGTAAAGTGTTAATTTTTGGTTGGATATTGATTTCGAATAAACTCCTTTTTAAGAAGGAGTTGGCAAAGCGAGGAGTTTTAGTGGGGGTTTATAATTTGATTCGTCAGCTGTGTTTTATAGAAGAGGAGGATGTGGATCATTTTTTATTTATTTTTGTTTATCGTTGGTGTGGCGGCAGAAGATTTGTGAGTGACTCTAGATTGAAAGTTTTATGTTTACAAGTTTTATTATTGCTCGCCTTCAAACTTTAGAGTTTTTGTATAAGTCTCTTTTTATGTTTCATTTGGATTGATTATTTGGATTGGTTTTGTGTTGGGCTATCTGGTCTTTTAGAAATGAGATCCTTTTTAATAGATGTCTCTTGTGTAAGTTTGATGTCATAGGGATAACTAAGTTTTTAGTTTTGGAATGATTTATTTCATTTTTTAAGGTAGGAGATGATCTTATTTGACCGGATTGGTGTGTCGATCTGAGACATTATGCTGGAATCTCGTGAATAGTCGGTTTTAGCTGGTCTTTTGCGGGTGATTTGTCGCTTTTTTTTTTGTATTCACTCTCATGGATTCGGCACCCTTTGTACTAATTAATTCATATCCATTTGCTTATAAAAAAAATGAGTGTGTGATAAATTTTATTAATTTGAACTGCGAATTTAATGGGTTGTTTCTATCATTTAGGAATTATATTTAAATAATTAGTTAAATAGTTTTATCCCTTTTATTGTTTATTGATGAAGTTTATTGTCTTCTAGTATTATTATCAAGATTTTTGTACAACCATTATTTATATATTAAAAAGTTTTACTGAACTAGATCCTGTGAATTTTACTATCAGTTTGAAGAAAGTTTTTCATGTTAAAAAGTTTGATGTCTTTGCAATTTAATTTTTCTCTTAGTACTGTTGTATACTGAAGTTGAATTTGTTGTTTATTTATTTAAATTGCACATGTTTGAAAAAATATTTTGCTTTTTAGAGATCGGTTATTTGATTATTTTCTAATAAAGTAGTATCAGAACTTTAATTGACTGGAATCAAGAAAAACAAAAATTCTATATGTTTAAGTTCAACTCTACTAGTTATACACTAAAAAAACTTAATAGAAGACATGTTGTTATACATCCTAAAATATCAGAGAGTTACTGTTATTGTGCCGCTACGTCTCCCCATATAGCGGTCGCTATTTCCACTATCGCTATAGTGCATTAAGGACAACCTAACACATCCTAAAATATAGAAGGATTACCATGTTGACATAAGATAAAGAACATAAATGATTTGGGCACCACGTCTTTACATAAAAAATGAAAACATTAGATACATAGTTATTAATTTCACATTTATAAAATATTCAATATCTATTTTTTCATTCAATGTGAAATTCCTATTGACTTTTCTATATCAGTAATATCTCTCTTGTATATGTCAAATGTGATTATGTTCCTACTCACGCTTGAATATTGACAATAGGTTTAATGATCATGTGTGGTTTAGTGATATGTCAAACCCTTGTATAAAAAGTTATTGACAATTGTGGTCACTCATCAACAACTTTAAGTTCTGTATTTTCATACATAGAGATCAAATATTTTAATGGATACACGTTATGATCCAAATACTTAAACACTAAGCCAAAGTCCTATAAGATTTTTTTTAAGTGTGGTTGCATGTCGTCAAATATAGAAATGATCTAGATATATTTCATGAGTAGTTTGTTAGAGACTTAGAGTGTATTGAATATGTCAATTTTGTTATGTTTAACTTGTTTAAGTAGAAAATATGTGAAGAAAATAAAACACTAGAATAGTATTGACTGTTAGGCAAGCATAGTTAGTGTATATCAACTTTGAGATAAGTGAAGTTTCTTCTTAGTTCTTATTTTTTGTTTGATTGTTTATCAATTTTCCTTTACCATGGAATTAAATCACTTAAATTATCACACAACAATAACAAAGTTCACGAATCCTCACAAACTCAATAATCCCAACAGGATTATTTATAAAATTTATTTCGTCACCTAGTAGGGACTATTACATCGTTGTTTTAGAGTTTTATTCCTCCATTTTGATGATACATCTGATAGACTCTCCTTTGAGCATGTAATCAAAAGCTTTGTTAATCTCTGAAAATGGTATTCTGTGAGTAATGAATTTCTCCAGTTCCAGCTCCTGCAGTAAGTATTAATACATTAACATCGCATTAGTAATACATTTCTCCTAAAAACACTGCAGAATTCAATATATAAATGCTCACCCCTTTCATGTACTTCTCTACAATTTTAGGAAGATCGGCGCGGGGTTTGTAGTTTCCATAAGAGGTTCCCTTAAGAGTTCTCTCATCCAAGAAATTAAAAGGACTAGTTTTGAAGGCATCATCTTTGTTTGGAACTCCAACAAGTACAGCAACACCCCAACCCTAATAAGAATAACAAATGAAGGTTCAGCTTTTGTCTTTGTAAGATTTATAGTTTCTTTAGCAACAAGTAAGAGTAAAAGAATTTTATTTTGCATACATCATGAACACATTCAAATGCTGAGATCATAGCCAGGATGCTACCAGTACATTCAATAGCTCGATCTACACCTCCATTTGTCATTTCAACAATTACCTGCAAACCAATTTTCATATCTCAATTTATTTATACGAAAAATGAAACAAGATTTTAACCCATAGCAACAAAACATACTCAGAAATTATAATAGAAAACATAAATATATTTACTAGATTTTTAATAAACTAACTTGTCGCACAGGCTTGTCGTGATCTTTTGGGTTTATGAATTCGGTTACCCCAAACTTCTTAGCTACCAACGAGAAAAGAATAAGAAATTTCATCAATACTCGAATTGAATTTATGTAGATCCACATCTTGAAGGTTTGGATAAAGATAGAAACATTGTACCTAATTCAAATCGGTTGGAAATTAAATCAACTCCAATGATTCTTGATGCACCAGAAATCCTTGCACCTTCAGCAGCCTATATTATGGTTCATAAAGAAGAGCAAAAACTAATAGTCTCATTTCATTTACAATCATAACTGCAATGCAACACACATAGAGACATGCAGACAAAGGTACAAGAGCAACATTCAGCAAGGCCAACAACTCCAAGTCCAAAGATAGCAATAGAAGAGCCAGGTTTTGGTTTTGCAACATTCACAGTAGCACCAAGACCTACACAACCATATAATGCAAGTTGAATTAGAAAAATATAGACATATTTATATATTAGTATCTCAAGTTAGGGGATCTTGTATATATATACCTGTGCATATTCCACGGCTGAGAATGCAAACTTTGTCTAGTGGTGCATTTGGGTTGATCTTTGCTACACATCCAGCATGTATCACAGTGTACTCGCTGAATGTGGAGGTGCCGACGAAATGGTGAATGGGCTGTCCCTTGATAGAGAATCTAGACTTGTTGTCATTGATCATGACACCTCTTTCAGGGTTGATTCTGAGAAGATCACACATGTTACTCTCCTCTGACTTGCAATGTGGACACTGTGAATATTGGTAGGGCTTGATCTCCTAATTTGAGATGTGTTACACCTTCATCTACACTCTCCACAATCCTGATCAATAACATTCATTCACATTACATAGTAAATTACTAACACATTATTTAACCAAGTGATCCAATCAATAATACACAAAATTAAGATTTATAATAGGTGAATCAAATTTGAATATTGAGAAGAGAAAAATACCCTCCAGCTTCATGATCAAATATACGAGGAAACAATGGAGTCTGGCCATAGAACAAGGGAAAAGTGTATAAAAAATTTGACATTATAATCTACCTTAGCTTGCCATATATATACGAGGAAAAATTTATTTAGTGGATGTATTAGTCATTATAATCTACCTTAGCTTGCCAAAAGTAAACATCTGTGTGGCAAAGGGAGTTGAAAAGTATTTTGAGACGAACTTCACCGGCGCCACCTCTACTTCTTCAATCACCAGCAGCTTCCCAGCCTCCCATGCAACCGCAGCTACAATTATAATACAAATTTTCAAAACACAATCAATAAACCGATGATGAAGTTATTGTGGAAAACAAAATGAAAATGAGAAAAAACATAATTTGGAAAAAGAAAGAGATGGTAGACCTCTGCATTTGATGATCTGACCAGCAGTGTTCGACATGATTAGCAATCGTATAGAAAATGGTACAAATCTCAACAACACTATGATCACCGCCTTGTGTGAGCAATTCAAGATCCAGCATCACAATTCTCCCCCTTATCGGCAAAAGATGAATGGTGCTGTCGAAATTGAAAATAAGAACATTAAAAAGATCATACAGAAAATGACAGTCACATACAAAGACTGACATGAGATGTTACCATTCGCTCTCCACGAGTATTGTACCACAGCTCGCACATCAACCGGGACAACACCCTATTCTCTGGTTTACGGCATGGAGGCTGTCTTGCCTATCGAGGTCTAGATCCCCTCTCTGAGGATTATGAAGGATGCAGGGCTAAACGAAGACGATTGGATCCAGACTCGACTTGATCAATTGAACTTGATTGATGAGAAAAGACTTACTGTTGTCTGCCATGGTCAAATGTATCAAAAACGGATGATCAAGGCTTTCAACAAAAAGGTCAGACACCAAGTGTATCAAGTTGGGGATCTGGTAATCAAACGTATCATACTACCGCAAAGTGATCCCAGGGGAAAATGGACCCCTACGTACGAAGGACCATTTGTAATCAAAAACATTTTCTCTGGTGGGGCAATGATCTTGACCACCATGGATGGCGACGACCTGCCGCATCCTGCGAACGCGGACATAGTCAAAAGATACTACACATAAGAGACCCGCTAGGTTGACATACCTTGGCAAAACAAGGGCATCCCGGCGAACCAAAAAGGTTCGGGCAAAAATTAGGGATAAAACAAAAAAAAAATCTGTACACCCGACAAGTTGAAAACCCGAAAGGGCAACTTGGGCAAAAAAGGGTATCCCGGTGGACTGAAAACCAGAAAGGGAGGTCCAGACAAAAGTTAGGGAATTAAAGCGTATGACTATTTCCTATTGGATCACCTTACGGACAACCTTTGACTTCAACTGACAAACTCAGAGGTTCTGATCAATTCAATCATCTTCGGACGAGGCAACAAATAGACAAGATGCTCGGAGATACAGAGACTATAGCAGAATGGGACCTCCATGGGATTATTGCACATAGCTATCCTTTCTTTATATCAAAATTTTCATTTTTTACGACAGCATTCTCTTACTAGAATGCTTGTCTCATTGTAAAAATACTTACTCAAAGTCAATACAAAGATATTCCTTTGAAAGTGCAAAACTATCTGTTTTTCTTTACTCTTGTGTTTTGTTTACAAAAATGTCCAATGATTCATTGTTGAACATATGCATTTGAACATAATTACTATTTATAAATAAACAAAATAAAAGACAATTACTAATGGCTTTAAAAGGTAGGGAAATCTCTCTAAGCTATTTCCATAAATTCCCCACAGTTTGCAGTTTAATTCCCAGCGAAACGAGCTTCCAATTATCAATCCCCAGTAGAAGTCGTTCAATTTCTCAGGATTTCACAACAGGATTTTACCAGCAGTACACGGTATTTCCCTTACAACAGAGTTTGTTTCTCTAAACAGAAATTCATCAACATTTCGACTTCAAGACATGAAGACTTCCATATCCTCAGCAATATTCAGGGATTTATTTTCCTCAATCTAATAAACAGCGCAACAGGCTAGCTCACATACGCATATATTGCATCCATATATCATGAACATTGATAACACGAATGCATTATACTATGCATTTCATACAACATAACATTACATATTATCTAACATTTTATCTTTTTGAGGATAAGATTAATCAAACAGCTACCATTAACAATATTCAAAGTCTCAGATACAGTTCAGATACGCTCCAGACACGGATGTCATTCTGATAGTCATTCAAATTCAACTTCTCAGATACAGTTCAGATACGCTCCAGACACGGATGCCATTCTGATACTCATTCAGATTCAACTTCTCAGATACAGTTCAGATACGCTCCAGACACGGATGTCATTCTGATACTCATTCAGATTCAACTTCTCAGATACAATTCAGATACGCTTCAGATACGAACGCTATTCTGATACTCATTCAGATTCAACTTTCATATACAGTTCAGATACGCTCCAGACACGGATGTCATTCTGATACTCATTCAGATTCAACTTTCAGATACGCTCCAGACACGAATGTCATTCTGATACTCATTCAGATTCAACTCTCAGATACAGTTCAGATACGCTCCAGACACGGAGGCCATTTTGACACTCATTCAAAACTAGCTTTCAGATACAGTTCAAATACGCTCCAGACACGGATGCCATTCTGATAATCATTCAAAACCAGCTCCCAGATACAGTTCAGATATGCTTCAGACACGGACGCCATTCTGATGCTCATTCTTTCAGCTTACAAATTACAATACCAACAATCACTCTTGGATGGCATTTACAAGTCCATCTCCAAAAACTTTATATCACCTCTCCAAATGGCATCTTTAAGCCCATTCCCTCAACCATCACATCACCGAGTGCAAATTTTTGGGCACTCTAGTGTCCAATCATCTTCCACCTTCGAGTCACGACTGGCAAAACATGCCAATCTAACTCTGCAGGCTTAAGAAGATTGAACAGGGGCAGCTGTTGTACCCCAAAATTTTCCCTCTCAACTTATCAAGAATTTGCTCACAAATATTTCCTTGGGCTCAAGACTGCACTAGGGTTTGATCAGCTCAAGACAGCTCCTCAAGCACTGATGACTGAAAATTAGGGTTTGAGATTGCACAAGGATTTTTGAACTTCTAAGGATTCATATGAATTTCATGGACCATTATGGACCCCCAATATTACTCACGTCAAGTTTCAAGCCTTGGATCATATTTTTGCTCAGTCAATTGAGCAGTTGACCTAAAAATCAGTTGTATTGGGGAAAAGTCAATCATGGCCAATTTACAGTAAAACTTCATAATTTTTTATTCACATCAACATTTTAAACCCATATGTATCATTTGATCAAGTTTGAACCACAACTCTTCAAGAAATTTGATCAAATCTCCAAAAGGGCAAAATGGTCAAAATTAGGGTTTTGATTGGGAAAGGGCATTTTCTGATTTTTGACCTAGCAAATGGTCAATTGGTCTAAGGCATGATCTCAAGAGTCCAATTTCATCATTTTTACCTAATGACATGATTCAAAACATTGCAAATCCATTGGATTGACAGATGAATTTTGCAGTCAACTGATCAAAAGTCAATTGTATACTGAAAAGTCAAACTTTGACTTTTGGTCAAATTTAAGCACCAAAGATTACAATTCATCAAAAAATGTCAAAATAGGAAACTTATTCATCAAGAAATCAAGAAATCAAGATTTCATTTTGAAAAGTCAAAATTTCTAAACTTGGAAATTTTTCTAAGTGTAAAAAATTTCTTATTTTTTCATAACTTTGAGCAATTTTTTCATTATGATGCAAGATGATTCAAATGAAACTTACAACATGAAAGTTGTAGATATCCATGGAATCTATAACTTTTCTTCACACAACTTCTCCTAAAAGTGCTTGGATCTCAAGTTATAATTTTATGAATACATGCTAATGAACTAAAAAAGACTTAGTGAAATTTTGCCCTAGTTAGGCAGATTTTTGACCTAACTTCATGGCAATTTTTCACATAGTTCCAAGGGGAATATTCAAAAGAAATTCAAAGATAAGTTTTAGAGCATATTTAAATATTTCTAAAATATCCAAGAACTCCTTGAGATCATTCTTGAGTATGGAGAATCGAAGAGATAAAGTTGGTGTTTTGTCACTTGAATTATAGGTCATTTTCATGATGAACACAAATGCAATTTCAATGTTATGCTGCATAATCTTTACTTTGCAGGCCTAAAACTTGTTTTTCACTCCATAATTAATGGATTACATAAAATTTTGAGCTATAATCCAAGTGGTTTAAGCTTTATCCAATTCACATTGTCATTTTGGGAAGAAAGTTAACAGTACCATTCTTGTAAAGCAAGCTTTTTGCATAAAATTCACATTGAGCCTCTAACTTGTTCCTCCTGATCACACTCCATCCACAAAGTCAGAAGCAAGCTTATTTAAAGCATAACCAGTCTATCTTATCAAGTACACAAGACTTTGAAACTTGTTTTGTCAAAAAATCACATGTTTAGCTTAAGGATGCAAATTCAAATTCTGATCAACAACAAGTCTCCAAACTTGTTGCTTATAAATAGAAGCACTATTTGTGAGATAGGACACGAGCTTGAAGCCCCTGAAACTCACTCAAACTCCCTCTAATCAGAAATTGTCTCAAAACACCATTGTTGTGCAAGTTCTGACTTTACATACCAAACTCCAAATCCCCTCGTGCGTT